TTAATGCCCGTGAGCCCTTTTGTCCCTGCAGAACGGCAGTGCTTTTCCTTCGATGAATTTATAGTAACTTCTGCCTGCACTTTTTGTGTGTATCATGGCAGCAAGGTTAGCTTAGGAACGTTAAGTGGCTCGTGGGAAATGAGCTATTTGCTGATCTAGGAGATCCCTCCGTGTCTTTTCAACCCCAAACCTCGGGCCCTTGAAAGTTGCGTCAAGATCCCGCGCGCGACGCGGCTCCTCTCGGCTCCTGCCTGCCGCGCAGCGGAGCAGCCCGACAGCGTTGGGCACCGCAGACCTTTGTGTTGCAGCGATTTGCGTGGCCGTTCCCGTAGTGTCTGGTTGCCCGAACCCCGTCCTGTTTGACGGGTGGTGCCCAAAGGCCTTTCCGTTGCGTTTCCCATTAAAGCAGTGCAGTGGAGTAGGAGGTGTGGGATGCAGTTGTCACGTTGGCCGCAGTCTCGTGTTCACGCTGTAAATCGTTGTGTTTTGACTGGTGTGGGACCATGCTGATTTTTTGGGGTGCTGGTTAACACTAAAATGCAAGTCATGCAGCCCAGTGTTCCCTAGGAAGGCGGCTGGACTGAGAGCCAGAGTCCCAAAGACTTCCAGCATGCAGGAATCTCATAGCTCATGTTCCTCCCTGCTTTGGTGTGGCAAAACAGTAAGAAAAGAGATGCTGTAAAGGGAATTCAGGAACCTTGCAGGCCTCTTTAAATATAAACATTATAAACACGTCCAGCAATTTATGGAAGTGCTGCTATATTGATAAGCATCCTAAAGATAGCTCCAGACTTGCTCTGCTTCTAGCTTTAAAGAAATGCGGCAGAAAGGAGGAAAAGGAACCACTCTTGCCAGTGTCCTAAAGGAACGAAGAGCAACTTGAAAACAAAAATCTGCCTGTGGTTTGTGGTTAATGCTGGAGCAACCTCTCCGAGGTATTTGATTTTCATTGCCTCTGAGTAGAATAGCTGGCAGGAGCTAAAATTAGCRTGCTTTGCATCCCACCTGTTTGGATGCTCGTCTTATTTTGGCTCTGAGGTGGAATGTGTGAATATAAATCAGGATTAAAGCGCTGTGGCTGYGGCCCGAGAGGCGGGTGCGCGGGGTGCTCCAATTGACTGGGCACGTGTGCCTGCTGCAGCGCTCCGGAGCGCCTGGGAAACATCTTTGGGAGCAATCCCTGCCTTTCTGTGTGGCAAACAGAAGTCGCGAGGCCGCGGATGGAATAATGAAGATAAAGATGGGCTCGTTTGGAGCAGCGTTTGCTCCTTGCACTGAATGCAGCAAGAGCCTTTGGTGTGGGGCTGAGGGGTGGTAACGATCGGGGTACTGTGCACGCACACGAGCACTGGGAGGAGGACCGAGACGTCCACAAATGTGATTGTCAGAGTTGGGTAGCGTTGCCCTGCGTGTGGTTTTGCCGTGGGAGTGGGGACAGGAGCAAGTGGAGCAAGTCTCCCTGAAACCTGCAATGGAAGAGCTGTGCTCCGTGCCTTGGCACTCATCCTAGATTGTAGCTTCGTATGTAATTTCCCCTTAGCTTTTGTACTGAACAGATTTCCCAGGGATTTCTGCAGCTCCAGACCTCGTGTGTCCAGTATGTTGCTCCCTGAGGAGCAAAGGGGGAAGTTTAAGACAACAGGGCCATCTTGGGAGTTAARACTCTATCATGCTAAAAAGCTCTTCTCATTTCTTCTCATTTTCCTGTAAGACCCTTCACAGCACTGGTGCACCCTGTGCTGTTGGCTGCCCCTCTTCCCTGGAAGAGACACTCTGGGCGCTTCTGGTTTGGGGTTAAGGTGGAAAGTCTTTCCAGAAGGTCAGTGCAGGGGCAGGTAGAGCTGGAGCTCTGCTTGAGCAGGTACTTGGTGGCCTTGCCCATGCCCGAGGTGGGGATCCTGCTGTGCTTCCCCACTGTTGGCGCTGGGCTGAGTCCTCTAAGAGCCAATTCTTGCTATCCTGGCAGAAAACCCTAAACGAGCCATTTTCCTACTGTATTGTTGGTGTTTTTGGACTCCTCCATGAGCCAACAGTAAAAGAGAGAGGAGGAGAAAAGCTGAGCAGAATCCTCCCTGCTTTATGCACCAGGTGGGTTTAGCAACCTCCAATAACTTCACTCTTATCTTGGTAGGGGGGGCTTAAGGGCTTGAAAGCCCCTGTACCCCATGCAAGGAGAGGCAGAAACGAGGGGGAGAAGGAGAGCATGTGCAAGAGGGCAGTTGCATGCAGTTTTTCACTCGCCCCTTGCTGCGAAGAACCAAGCAGCCCTGCAGCTTTGTACGGGCATAGCTGGAAGCAAATCACCTGCTGGTAATAAAGGGCACAAAGATGTTTGGTTTTATGTGAGGTTAATGGAATRAGTGTTTTTGCTGGAATTGCACCATGAAGTGCAGTTGCTTTTCACGCCTTGCGAATAAAACTTGAGCTTCTTCTGTCACTCTAGGGCACTGGGTGTTTGCGAGGAGAACGATCTCTGTCCCAGTGGAAAGGCATGTAGTTTACTGCARGTTTTGTTCAGTGGCAAATGTGAACCAAGCAAAAAGTGGCAAATTCTTAAAGTTTTATCCTTCCTCCTTGTTTTTTTTCCTTCTCTGGCTCCCTGTTTGGAAGCCAAAAACTTATTTCTGCCAAATAACAAAGTGCAGGGAAGCCAGGAGCTCAAGAACYGGGTGCTGGTGTGTGATGCACTTACAGCACCGTGATTCAAACAGACTCTATTAAAAGCATGAGTGATCAAGTTCAGAGGTTTTTTGCTGCCGTAACAGTTGTTCCAAGTGCTAAAAATTCACCAGCATTAGCAAATACTTCAGATGTCCCTTAACCGTTTTAATTTGCACTTATTTACTGAGCAGAATGGGATTGSAGGGTCTCCTCTGCTTTGCACCCGACCGCTGTCGCCAGCTTGGCTCGCTCACATGTGAGTCAGCATTGCAGGRTATGGGAGCACAGTTTCCCACAGCTTGGAGTGTGAGATTTTGTGTGTGAGGCTCTATTTTTAAGCCATCCTTTTTTTTTTGTCGCCTAGAATAGCTGTATCTGTTCGTGTTTCCCTTGCCTGTTCCCTGTCTAGTGGTTAACTTGGGAGGAGGATGCAGTTTCTTGGATGGTGGCTTAGCTTGCTCCTCCTTTACCCGACGGTAATCTGAAGCTTACTCGTTTTTCCAGGTGTTTCTTGCTGTGCAGTCTCTGGATTGCTCTGAAACTGCATGTTGCTCCTTGCAAGCTCTGCTGAGCAAATACAGTGGGCAGAGGGCACGGAATATCCCTTTGGAAAGGGAGATTTGGCAGGGAGAACTAGCAGGGGTTACCTGGATTGGCTTGCTTTCTCCTCCCCTTCCTCAAAATCAGTCCTTCAGTATATGAGATATGATAAAAAAAAGAGGTATTTTTAATTTTTCTTTACATCAGCGGAGATGATCAAGTCAAAAGTGGCCCTGTACCTGCCTCTGCTGCACTTTTATTGCAATAGTGAGAGGACGGGGTTGCAGCTGGGAGCGGTAGCCGGTCACCTTGTTCCACGTGTCGGGGTTATCGGCTGGGTTTTATGCCTCTGTGCCTTTAGTACAGCACAGCGCAGTCGTTAAAGATCAGATAAGGTCCCATTTTCCTTCCCTTACTGTTCCCAGAAGAATAAGCCTTGTGTTTTGCAGAGCTGAGGTTCGCTGCACAGGACAGGGAAGACGGGTATTTCAGCGCTGCGTGTTTCAATAAAAGCTCATTCAGGTCTCGCCAGCCTTGGAAATCGAGCCTGGTATCTTCTTGAGGGCATCTTAACATAGAAGTGAGCCTTAATTTGTGGTGGATTTAAAGCAAGAAGCGTTTGGGTTTTGACCAAAATGTGCTCCGGGGAGGYGATTTCTGGCCCTTCCCAATCCTTGAGCTTGCAGGACACGTTCCATCTGCCGGGTCTGCTGCAGGAGGACGGTGCCACCCTATATCCTTTCACAAAGAAACTGTCCTTCACTGAAAGACCAAGACAGCAGCTTCAGTCGAGGGCGTGCTGACTCCCCCTGCTCTCGAAATTAGCTCCATCTGAAGCTTCCAGCTGCTGCAGAATGATTAGGATGGATGCAGAAAATGCAGAAAAAATCACTTCGTAAATTATACGTATTGACCGCAGAGGGATGCACCTTTGGATACCTTTTCCTTTTAGCTGTGTGTTTTGAGTGTCAGTCCTGCAGCCTGAGAGTATTAAGCAGGCTTTTATTGGCCTTTAAAAACAGGTAATTTTGATGTTATCAGAAGTTGGAGGAAATACTGCTTTAGATGGCAGCAGCCTGAGCAAGTTACGCGATCCTTCAGGTGCTGCTTGTTACTCTGTTCTTACTGGAGGGGTAATTCCTGCTGCTTCCTGCTATACAAAAGCGCTTCAGTTCCTCGTGGCTGTAGTGAAGCACTCGGAAGCCTCTGTCCCCCTTGTTTTCCCCTGAACTTCCCTTTGCTTCCTCCGAAGCAGCCGTAGTGCAGATGTTGGCGTGAGGCGTCGCGCAGCGGGCGCGCGCCGGCACTGGGGAACTCATGGGGATGTAGTAAATACTGCGATGTGGTGCGTGAATGTCTGCTCCTCCTGGCATCCTGGAGCAAATCTCAGGTCTGTCTCCTTTTCCTCTTTCAGAGGTATGGAAAAACCTCTTTTAAACCCATTTCTGCCTCGTTCYTGTTTCCCCACAGATGCTTTTTGCCTCCTTAGCTCAGGCAGCCAGGTCGAACACGAGTGCACCTGACGGGTCTCTGTGCTCATAAACGCAGCTCCTGGGCAGTTTGCCTGCTGTGCAGTAAGGCAGCACTAAAGTGCCTGTTACTTCCATCCTTTTGGTACCTGGGTATCATCACTCTTCCTGTGCACTTGTTAAAATTTCCTATTGCTTATGTCAAATTGTTCTCGAAGATGMAAGAGTTGACAGCGTGCTAGTTTCTACAGGTTGATGCTGTTCTGTATGTCACACTCATCGTGTCTGTAGTGAACTGACACTGCTTTTTTTTCTTTTTTTTTTTTCCAGCCAGATAATGAAATCTCTTCAGACTGCAATCATGTAAGTATTGCTTTACTTGAGGCTCTGCTGATTGCGTTTGCACTTGCCTTCCCCCATCAGCCCGGGGTGTTTTGCATAGAGTGTGCAGGAGGAATCAGTGCACACTGGAGTTCTGCACAGCCCTGCGGTGGAAGACAACCCAAAACCAACGCCTATAACCCAGTACAGCAGCATTGGAGGCTGCAGAATGAAGTAGCTCAGGTCTCTGTACGCTGTAGTTTGCTATTGAAGAGGAAGAGAGCAGATATCTCTCCTGTTTCAGGGGTRGAGAGTGGTTCCTGTGAGCTCCTGGGAACAGTGCAGCATGCTCATTTTGGGGAAAAGATGTGAGCAATACTGAGTGTAAACGTTCTTTAGTTTCAGCTGTTAAAGTTGGAGCCTTCTGCATTGCTTTCCCAGCTGCTAAACTCTCAGGCTTGCTTGGAAAATGCAGCTGGCACTAGATTTCTTTCATCGCCCCTCTTTGGCATCCTGGCAGGATTCTCCGCATCAGGATCCTTCCTTGTTTGCTCATGCTTGGACATGAACGGACAAGTGCCCACCTCAGTGACAGGGCTAGTTTCAGGTGTTTGAACAGCTCTATTTTGCTTTATTGGTGGACAATATATTCCAAAAATAAACCCCATCCACGTTGYACAACCAGGAGTTTCCAACTGTGTTTATAAATTAACCTTTAGCACTTTGCCACCTCATTGTGTGGCAGTCATAATTCTCAACTGCTTCCCAGGACTGGATGAGGTGAAAGCACACGGTGTTTTGGGCCTTTGTTTTTTTCGGGTGGGTTTTATTTTGGTTTTTCTTTTTCTTTTCTTTTTTTTTTTTTTTTATGATAGGGTTTAGTGTTAAAAGGCATCTGACATATAATCTGTCAGTTATGCCAACAGAGATTACCTGAATATGAGGAAGAAAATGTGAACCAACATCAGACCTTTGCCCACAGTTCAAATCTCATAATAAGTGTGACCAAACTGTTTTCCGTTTTGATATTAATTTGATTTTCTCACAAAGGTGGAGTAGTTGAATTTCAAAACCTATATAACCTTTCAATTCATTTAACATGTTTAAATGTAACAAGTTTCTAGAGGAGAAAACACATGAGCTAATAGAGAGCCTCCTGGGCAAAAATTTCACCTACTCATTTGTGGAGGTTTAGCTGTCTTAGCTTGTTTTATTTTTCACTTTAGTGCCTCAGGAGGAAATCAGAGATGTGTGTGTATGTGTAGACTGCAACTTGCCCCAAATTAGATGCAAGAGTTAGGCTTTGAAAAGAGCTCATCTCTGTCTTCAGAGGAACAGTCGCCCTGACTGAGACGCTTTGTGGTTGAACATCTAGTGGGTTTTGCTTAGCGAGGTGGGGAGCTTGTAGGCTTTGAAGTACGTGTCTAGCTATAACCCTTGAAAAAGGAAGTGAATAAGGAACCTGCTGCATGTTCTGCTCCCTTTTATGATGAATTTTTGTTAGGTTTTCAGCCTGATATCTGCTCTTGTCGAGACTGTCCCGTTTTGTGGTAGATGGCATGTGTTGAGCGAATAAGCCGTTGTGCAGCTAGGCTAAAGATGTTAGTAAATATGTAGTAGGTAGCAAGTTGGGGCTTTTAGCCTTTCTGTTGTCTTCATTAGATGAATTTTCTTTCAATGGGGCAGCTCGTGACCTTATGGAGCGAGTGTTAGAGCCTGAATTTCTTGAAGAAAATTCTTGTGGAAATAGTTGTCAAGGAGACTTTGCTCTGTGTCGGTTATTGCGCTGCAGAAGGATGATACCGGTTTGGAATACGTGATGCTTCATTCCTTTCCGAAGCAAAATACCTGTTCTTCCTTCTCCATGCCAAGCTCTGAAACCTTCTCCCTCCAAATAATCTCTCTGCAGCTCTTGTGGAACTACAAGCTGAACCTGACTACAGATCCAAAGTTCGAGTCCGTGGCCAGAGAAGTCTGCAAATCYACTATTGCCGAGGTGAGCGGGGAAAAGGAACAGCTGCCCTTGCGGCATTGGGAGCGTTTCCCATTTCTGCACAGCCTCCCTGGGATGATGGTCAGTGGGAATGAAGCTTTGGGGCTCGGGGAAGATGAGAGAAGGTGCATAGTTTCCCCGAGCCCTCAAACACTCCAGATCACCTGCATTGTTCCCYGTGCTTTGCAGTGAATTTGGTTCATGTGAGAAGAGCACAAATTAGCTACAAAAGATTGAGAAAAACCACGCAGCTGAGGGGCATCCCATAGGTTGTCCCTCCTGCCCACTTTAAGCTTGTGTTTCCACTTCTTTTAGCGTAATTAAAGTTAAGGAACGGAAACTTTAATGAGAAAAATGCTTTAGAAAGCCAGAGGATTAAACAGCATGAGGAAAGCAGCTCACCTTCAAGGGTTGTGCTGTGCGTGGAGTTCAGTAGCTCCCAAATGAGAGTGCTGCCATGTCCGTTGAATGCCAGTTTTTGCAGTGGAGGAAAGATGAGTGTTTTCTGTGTGCAACTTTGTTCTATGTCGTGAAACTGCTGCAGAATTTTTTCAGGTATTCTTGAAAATGCTCTTAGCGTGTTTAGTTACCTCTCTTGTGTAACAGCAGTCTGAGAGTGCTGTAAACATCTTTGGGCTCTAAAGACCATGGGAGAAGCGCAGGATTTTAGCTGTGTATTAATTGACAATGTTTCTGTTATCTGACTTGGGGGTGGGTGATGTCCTGAGCTGGTATTTTGCCATTTGGTGCATAGTTAGGTAAGTAACAGTAACTGCATGTGTTAAATCACTTGTTTAATATTGATAAATGTTAAACATTTGTGACAAGTGTCTAAACCATCCCACTGAGTAGCTTTTAGTAGAAATGCCTTAAAATCTTAAGAACTCGCATGCAGAGCGTGAGTTAATTTAGTTAATATTAACGTTTCGATTTGATCCGAGCTAAGGTATTTTCCTGTTGTGTGTTCGATTTTAGAACAAAGTACATCTAGAAGAATAAAGTGTAGGGATGTTCACCTGTGAATTAGTGCCTGTCCCAACTGTGCATTTAAACAATTGCAAATAGACACAGTTCTTGCAGAGGAAGCTGGCTCCACTCTCCCCCTTCCACCCTGTGGTGAATCATATGTGGGTTTTTGACTGAAATGAAGCTCTTTCTGCTATTGCAGAGAAGGCACAATCAACCTTAAACTGCATTTTGCTCATGTGGATTAAATAAAGYCATCCGGCAAATTCCAGCTGCCTTCCAGTCCTGTTTTGAAAACGTTGCATTTTTACTTGTTAATTAGAAAGTAAGTGACTTCATAAACGGAGGCAGGAGGATTGATTTTATTCATTTAGTTGGACCTGTAGGAGTGTGGAGCAGGATGCTCTGAATTCCTCCTTGTTTGAATTAGAGCGTCTCCTTCTAGCAACATCCTCCTCCTAGTAGAGACTATTGGTATCAGAGAAACCTCTGAAATGTTTCAGTGTTTGCTCTTAGTGTTCTCCCCACTCGGTATCTGAACAAGCCCAGGGACACCAGCACAGGGTAAATATCTCAACACAGGGTCTTCCTGAGCTTCAAAGGAGGCTGTGTAATCTCCACATTCCTTGGAGCAAAGAGCACGGCCTTGCTGCGCTGCTCCCRATCCCGGTGTTCCTCTGGRGTTGTCCTCACCGGATAAGCAACCRTGTTTTCCCACTTCTTATTGGAAAGCTGCTTTCAAAATGGCCTTGGCCTTTTACTTCTAAAGGTGACGTTTTGACCTTATAGTCTGCTCTCCTGAGCAGCACGGGCTGTGATTTGTATTGGGAAGCTGTCTGCTCATGTAGGCTGCTCTGCCAGCCTCTGCACGGCTTTCAGCTTYTATTAGCAGTGATTATTTTCTTCTTTTTTGCTTCAGACCACTGAGTAAAATGGTTTAGTATCAGCAATCAGCTCGACGGAGAGCTTGATAAAAACAAATCTGATGAGGGCTTTCCTTTAAGGCAATATTTTTGACTTCTAGACGGGGATAAACAGCTCAATAAATATATTTACTTTTGAATCAATCTCACTTTTAGCCAAGACGCTGTGCTGTACAAGGCAAAATGTTAATGGGGGCCCAAGTATGATTCAGTAATGCTATAATAATATGCTCGGTTTTCTAAGTAAAGGTTGTCAAAGGAGCATTTTTCCCTACAAATCTGCTTGATTGCAGGGATTTAGTGTGAATATTGTGAAAGATGATTAATGGGCCAGAAGACAGATATTCTTCAAGGTCATTGCATTTACTTCAGATATTGACGCAAAGGAAGTATTTCTCATTTCAAAAATATTCAAGTATTCTGACTTGCTGAGAGTTAACCTTAGGCCTGGTGAGCTTTTTTGCTAGCAGTGTTTGAAACTCTAGATACAAGTTTCGGAGCCTGAGGATTCTTTTGAAAAGTTTAAATTCAGTAGCTGCAGCCCCTGTATCCTTAATTTCTTTCTTTAAATTTTCTTTTTTAATTATCTTATTTTTTCCCTTTGAGCAGATCAAAGAGTGTGCGGATGAACCGGTTGGTAAAGGTTTCCTGGTGTCRTGTTTGGTGGACCACAGAGGAAACATCACTGAGTACCAGTGCCATCAGTACATCACCAAAATGACAGCCATCATCTTCAGCGACTACCGGCTCATTTGTGGCTTCATGGATGACTGCAAGGCTGACATCAACCTCCTCAAGTGTGGCAGCATTCGACCCGGAGAAAAGGTATCTAGAGAACATGTGGTTTGTCAGGAGGCAGGTAAAAATGCTTCACTGAGGCTTTGAGGTGTCCTGCAGCACTATATGGTAGTGGGCTTGCAACTTGGAAACTCCGTGTCATGATTAAGCTGTATGAAAAGGCTGTTGCCCTGATACTCTGTAGGTCCTTTTTAGTAARGGGTGTTCCTTGCTTTGGGGAACTGCTGTTTGTAGTGATTACTTTCTCCCTTACTGCGGGGGATCTGGTAGGTAGCTGCCTTTTTGCTTACAYTTGCTAAGGTTGGACTTGGTACGGTGAATCCAAACAATAGGTTTAAATGACTCGTTGCTGGGCTCGTTTCATTTGTGGTCAGCTCTGACGCAGGACAGTTATTGAGGCAATGTGGCCTGTGCTAATTCATTCTGCTTGCTCAGTCYGCAGATGATAGCACAGATCAGGAGTCTTCATTTGTTGCCTTTCCCTTGTGATTTCAGTAGTTCTGACTCTTTAATACTGTACTGTTTTTTTACGGAATAAATCAGTGCCCTTTTGCCCTATAGGAGTTAAGTGGAAGGTCTGTTGCTATTTGACTGTATTGCTGCTGTAATTCCTCACTCTAATATATCAATARTTGCATATGCCAGCTTGACTGTGTGTTCATTAGTCCTCATTAAATCTTCCAGCTTCTATAGCACTCCGTTGCACTAGGAAACTTAGATGGAAGTCAGGGACCAGGCCCGGTTTAGAAAATCTGTGTGCCTTATAGATGTGTTATGTAATGACCATGCAGGAAATAAAAAGAAAGTTTTTGGTAATGAGAAGCAGGGTGGTTTTCAAGGCACTGTCTTTCTCCCTCTATTTCAGTGCAGCTAATGCAGGCAGCTGTTGTGTAGTGCTGCACTGAATGTCTTGTCCTATGGTAAGATTTTATGTTTAGGGATAAAGCTAAAATTAGGCTATAAACTTCTTTACAATGCTTTTTGATTATAGCTYATAGATTTTTAAGAGTCAGGTTCTTAAATGAACTGTTAAGGAGGTGAAATCTGTAGTGAAAAACACACCAGGTTTTGAGGTAATAGAAATTAGAGGCACAGCTATTGAAACATTAGAAATTTTGCCACTTTGAGAAGTTCACTGCTGTAATTCATCTGTAGCACGTTAAACTGGAGTGCACAGCAGAAAGCACAAAGCCAAGGCTAAAAGTAGCCATAGAAGTGGGAGGAACTTGGAGGCCCTGCAGTTTCAGACCAGTAGCGACCGAGTAACTTGCTTTCCAAGGGAAATAAAGGCTGTCTTCCAGCAGGAGGATCTCCTGGATCGTGACTGTTTTGGTAAAATCAGGATGGGAGCAGAAAYGGACTGCAGGAATCCTGAGTCTCTGGGCTGCGTGTGCTGTCCGTGGCCCGACCAAATTAAAATACTTACTGTATTTTAGGAAGACTGCAGCAAGGTGGGTTTCCTGAGGGTAAACCGGGTCTCACGGAGCAGAGGTAAAGACAGTACCAACCTGCCTGCGTGCATCTGTGTAACCTCAAAATGCACGTGCAGCCCGACGTCCCGCTTGCTGCTCTGCGCAAGTACTGCAGCCAGGTAATGCACTAGCAGGAGGTCAGTTTGAGAATGCAGAGATGTTTAGTGGCAAATCAAATGCTGCTGTTTCTGTGGTCCTGATTTTAGCTTTGCTCTGTGCGTTTTGGTATTGCCTAATCATGTGGTGGAATAGCAGGTCACTGCTTGAATTGGACGAGGGCACAGAGGGCACTCGGAGCAAGTTTGCGGATGATCCCAAGCTGGGTGGAGTGGCTGACACTCCCGAGGGCTCTGCTGCCCTTCAGAGGGACCTGGACAGGCTGGAGAGTTGGGCAGAGAGGAACCTCCTGAGGTTCAACAAGGAGGTTGCCAGCAGGTTGAGAGAGGGGATCCTGCCCCTCTGCTCAGCTCTGGTGAGGCYGCCCCTGGAGCATTTGGGGCAGCTCTGGGCTCCCCAGGACAGAAGGGATGTGGAGCTTCTAGAGAGGGTCCAGCAGAGAGTGACAAAGATGATCAAGGGAGTTGGAGCATCTCTCGTATGAGGAAACAYTGAGTGAGCTGGGCCTGTTTAGCCTGGAGAAGGTTGAGAGAAGATGTGATCAATATGTATAAATAGCTGAGGGGAGAATGTAGGGAGGAAGGGGCCAAACTCTTCTCAGTGGTGGCCAGTGACAGGACAAGGGGCAGTGGGTGTAAGTTGAAAACAGGCAGCTCCATCTCCATGTGAGGAGGAACTTCTTCACTGTGAGGGTGCCAGAGCCCTGGCACAGGCTGCCCAGGGAGGCTGTGGAGTCTCCTTCTCTGGAGATCTTCCAAACCCACCTGGATGCCACCCTGTGCTCTGGGTGTCCCTGCTGGACCAGGAAGGTTGGACTGGATGGTCTCTAGAGGTGCCTTCCAACCTCGACCGTTCTGTGATTCTGTGCCACTTTTGTGCCTCAGTGCTCTGAATGCAAGTTGGTTCATGATGAATAGAAGCTGTATGTGGCCAGCCCCACTTTGYTGGCTGTTGATGTTAAGATGTGCAAGGAGCAAGGCCAGAGGCTAAGGAGAAAAGGTGGCCGAGGTAACCACAAGGCACGTGACAAACGGATGCCCACTATGGAGCAGCAAAGCAGATCAATACTAACCTTCTATTGGGGATTTGAGTGTTTTCCTCACTTTCTAGTACCCAGTGCAGACTATTCAGTGGTGGTTTGCAGAAGCAGCAATGTGCTGTATGATTTCTTTTGTTGTGTTGTCATCTTTGGCACTTAGAGCAGTTGAGGTATTTTAGACTGCTATGGAAACAGCTAGAAGTGGCTTTGCCAGCGTCGCTGCTGCTGCTGTTCTTTCTCACTGCTGCTTGCAAGAAATCTCATCTCCCTTGACTCCCATCAGGCTCCTGCTCAGGTTTTGCCTCCCTACTGCGGCTGCAGAGCCGCCCRTGGAGAAAAGGTGAGTGGTCCTCTCGTGCGACCGAGTATAACGGGGCACCTGAGGAGGACGAGGAAAGAGGTGGTTCTTGTGCCTGGAGGTAAGCGCTGCCAGACACTAACTCCATCCCTGTCAAGCTGCTAGGGCCCCTGCTGCTAGTTTGGACTTAGCTGTGCTGAGCTGGGGGTGATTTGCCACCTTGCAAAGGGGCATGAGCCRAAGTTGTACGTCTGCCATAGCCTTTCCTGTAGGATTCCTGGAGCGGCCGTGTCAGAGCATTGTTTTCTCACTTGCTTTATTTGCCTCCTGAGTGCTTTGGCTGTGGTTGGCCTCRCTCTTCCCCTAGTTTCATCCAAGCTCTGAACATGGAGGGGAAGCAAGTCTRAACGGGCAGATAGGAAGCAATTAATTCAGGTTGTTTACTCAGTGCAGCATTATAGGGGTGTTCCAGCAACTGAAGTGCTGAGGTGCTCTTGTACACAAAAGCATTTGTATGAAGTCTGTTTTAAATGTGTCTTAAATCCCTGTAATGCAGGGAAGCGCAGTAGCCAGTACTTCAAGATGATCTGCTCTAATCTAAAACYCATATTTGTGAAATGGTGCCCCAAAAAATAGTGTTTTTTATGTTGCATCTCCATAATACAGCATTAAAAGCTCATATCCTGCATCTATAAATCACCTTCCCTTAGACTATTAAAAATAGTCTTTTATATGTAGCGTGAAGCTGTTGATTAGCAATCTAGACTTGCACTGCAGGACGTTTGGAAGCTGCAGCCCAGCCTAGCAGGAAGAGTCTGGTCTTGTGCCCTCCCGCCCCAGCTGCACGGTGAGTGAATAGCCCTGGCCCTGCCTTCCCTCCCAGCGGCAGCACGGCCAAAACCTGCCCAAGGAAGAGCTTCAGACTGTGGSTTTTCCATCACTGAGTCCTGCCCGCCGCCCCGGGAGTGATGACTACACGTGAGTGACTGCTAAGGTTTGAGAAGTGGAGTTTGTGTTCGCTGTGGYTATGGGTAAATGGCAGTTATAAGTAATATTAGGGCAACATTACCACTGTAGCTGCTGCTCCTTTTGGAATATTTGTATATTTAAAGAGATTTCTCTGAGGGTGCCGATGTCTGGGCAGCGTGTACAGCTGGTAAGCTGCCATTCAAAGCAAAGAGTGAACCCGACTAGGATGTTTTGGGCTTTTTTGTGTGGTTTCTTTTGAGTGCTTTAGAAAACTTTCAGCTCTTAAGCTGCTGCTGTTTGTGGGTTTTATTTATTACGCTGTAATCAGCCTTGTTCTGCTCGTGCTCCTGGCATGGCAGAGTGCAGCTGGGCTCAAGGCTCACTGTGTGGGGAGAAGTTTCACCAAGGCATTCGGAAGAATTCCCAGCTTGGAGTTGTCCCAGCCGTGCTTTATGGCGCTCGCTGCCTTTGGTGCCGGGCTGAGCAATTCAATATCAAGCACATGTACATGCTTTGCTGCGTCCCTCCATAGCAGTATCCTCTGGCGGCAGATTAGCATGGATTAAGGCCTTGGATCAAGCARTCAAAGAGAAGATTTCCCTCTTTGTCCAGAAACAYTTGCAGAGGCCATGAAGAAAGATGYGTTTCAGAAAAAGGCACGGTTTTAGAAGAATTGGGCCTTCTGTGKAGTTRTGTGGCTGAGATARCATGGTTGGCCTGGGGAACAGCACCAGGTCACAGCAGCTTTGCCCAACTCTTCAGCTACTCTTGAACACTTTGGAATATTTTATTCCCCCCGGTGGAAGAATCATCCCTGAGGAGCCAAGGTTGGGCCACGCTTTGCTACTTGTCCTTGCCCAAACCAAAGGCTTGGCCCACCGTGGAGCAACCATGGTTTTTCTYTGCCCAGTGTGTTCTCAGTGTGATGCTGCTGCCCGCTGTTGCCATGGAGCCAGGAGAGCTTTGTCAGATTAATGATAATTTGGCCATTTTGGTAAGCTGCTCTAAGCAGTGTGACTAAGCAGTGATAATCTAATTAAGCTGCATCAAAACAAGCTGGAGAGCCTTGGAGGGGGTGGTAGCGCTCTGCCCAGCAGCTCGTCGGCTACATCTAAAGGTGGCAGCTGGGGACGTCGCAGGTCAAGGTGACTGAACGAGGWGGAGATGAGGAAAGCAGAAGATGAACTTAGTTGGCTTGGCTGACCCTGACTTGGAGCCTGGTTGTAGTCACCAGTTTTGACTCAGATGAAGAGTCTTTCACGGGCTTAAAAAATATTGTTTCTGTGCAAGATATGGATGTATATGCAGTAATACGTGTGTCATCTATGTGTAGAAGGTCTGTGGCTTGATTTACATGGTGATTTTCCAGAATCCTGGATCACTTACTCGTATATGTGGTCAACTGCAGAGTATGCTCTTTCCCTTTGCTGTAGGATGCCCACTCGCAAGGAGAGGTGGTGGCATGCCTGGAGAAAGGCCTGGTGAAAGAGGCCGAGGAGACCAATCCGCGAATCCAGGTGTCTGATCAGTGCAAGAAAGCAATTCTGCGCGTGGCCGAGCTCTCCTCGGACGACTTCCACTTGGACCGGCACCTCTACTTCGCCTGCCGAGACGACAGGGAGCGGTTTTGTGAAAACGTGAGTACTTCCTTCTTGCCGTCCCTTCTACCTTAATCCATTAAAAATTGGGTGATAAAGAAGGAGATGGGATTGGAGCCTGAGCACGGTGTAATACTGCGAACAGGCACCTCTTAGTTGTCACTTTGTAAGAATTCTTGTTTTCATTTCACTAATAAAAAGTGTTATGGGTTTTGCTGGCTTGATGAACGGAATTGACTTCTCAACAGCTTGATGGGCCTCAGACCTGGAGTGGACAGTGGGGAGCCTCTCGAGTCGGGAGAGGAGGCCAAGGCGAGTGGCTCCTGCCTCCTGCTCGATCGCATGAGACGAGTCTCTGCTTGCAGCACTCCTTGCTGCTGGAGCATGAGACTGAAGAGCTGCGCTGCTCAGTTCCTGTTATCTTGAATCAGCTGAGGGGTTTCTCACTAAAAGGCTGATGAACCAGATCAGAGCGGGGAAAAAAAAAAAGAATTGTCAACAATATCTTTTTCTCTGTGCTACAGAAATCACCACAGTTGGTTCCATCCAGTGCTAGCTTTAATATATTCGTAGCTTAAAAGGAAATCTGTATTTTTTTCTCTTTTGGCGTAGTTTAACCTGCTTGTTCAGCACAATGTGACTTGTCCTTAATGGCTCATCTTACTGTTCTGTTTCACAGACACAGGCTGGGGAAGGCCGAGTTTACAAGTGCCTGTTTAACCACAAGTTTGAGGAATCAATGAGTGAAAAGGTAGGTACCTGTCTCAGGGGGGCAAATCCTTAAGGCAGAAATCATCAGATCATTCATCAGCCCCGACTGCGTTAGTCTTGTCCTGTGTTGAGGAAAATCCGTCATCTCCGTGGCCAGATAACAGACTCCTTTCACAGCTGCCTTTGCCTTGATGGGCTCTTGTTTCCAGCTACATTCTGATGACTTGAATTAACTGTGTGCAAGATGAAGCCTTTAAAGTTGAAGGATGTAAATAAATCAAAGCTACTCTTGGGTGGGTAATTTGGGAAGGTAGACTTGGAGCTCAAGTGGCCGTGTGGTGATTAAGTGTTTAAAGTGGCATCATGCTGAGGTAAGCCTGTATAAATCCTATCCTAGCGTACGRGTTGGAAACAAATTGTCTAAATATCTCAATGTATGTTGAGCTGTATGGGTATTTCACGTGTTTGTTTTCCAGGCTATAATTATCTGACTGTTAAGCAGCAAGTTGTGTGGGCAAGACGTACAATTCAGAGTTACTGGATTTCTCCTTAATTTTTTCTGCCTGAAGATTTTAACCAAAAAAAAAAAAAAAAAAAAAAAAAAGGCTGATCTGTAAAGTCAATCCCTAGAAGAATTTGCTTATAGCTCTAGTGGTGTGGGTGGTTTAGGAAGGCAGCAGTCTGTGAAATCACCGAAATCAGTGGTTTCAGAAGCAGCATCACAGTGATAGAAAGGAGACAGAGTTCTAGTCTGAAAGGATGCAAAGATGTTTTATCTGTGAAGCTCCACCAAAGGAGGCAGATTCAGAGSCCTGCAGGGATCGGACTTATTTCCTTTTCTTTAACTGCAACAGCTATCTGAAAGTTTAATTCCAGTTAACAAATTCACTGCTGAGGAAGGAGTCCCTGAGGGCTCGAAGCAAAGATTATTTTATCCAAGSATGTTCCTGAGACGGAGTGCTCCTTTTTTTGCTTAGTTTGTTTTTGGCTGTACAGAAAGTGCTTTGCATGCTGAGCTGCGTGACTTAAGATGTGAGAGGTTGGGCATTTAGATGAAGCTGCAGCAAGTTAGTTGATAGGAAGGGAGGAGTGGGTGTGTTTTGCAGAGCAGGATGAATGTCCCAGCTGATTCCCACCTGTGTGGCTACCACAGCTGGACTGTGCACAAACCCACTGGCTTTGCAGAGCTGTTAGTAAAAAGTTGCTCCTTGTTAAAAGTGTCCGGAGCTGCACACACAGAGGACAGCTGATTAGCAGGCCACCTGCTTGGTGCCCTCCTAGGGTTTTTCAAAGCCCTTTTGGGATGGAGTTAAGGGGTTGTTCTTGCAGCGCTGGGGTTGTGGGTCTAGTTTGGTCACAGAGCATCCTCACGAGCCACAGCACGTTGGGATAAAATGGCTAGAAATTGCTGTGAGTAGACTGCATATTGGTGCTGTCATCAGTTTGGCACGTTACAGTGCAGATGTGAGGAACGTAGCCTTTTGGAAATGTGGCTGGGAAAAATTGTTTCTYGAGGGCACAGGGTGAGCATGGGGTAAATGTCAGCAACTGATCTCAGCTACTGCGAGTTGAGTCACACTTTCAGCCCTAGCTCCTCACAGAAAGCTGGAGGGATGTGTGGCTCTAAGAAAGGCATCACTCCTGTGCAGCTCCTTTAAAACCCTTCATCTGTTGACCTCGGGTGTGGGTTGTTCACTGCGCGACAGCCGAATTTAACTGCGATCCAGCTTAAACTATGAGTTTTAGGGCAGAAGCTGTTCTTTGAATCCCAAAGAATTGAGAGCCATATGTGTCTTTGAGCTGTCCCAACACGTGTCTCCCGCAGTGTCGTGACGCATTGACAACCCGCCAGAAGCTGATTGCCCARGACTACAAAGTGAGTTACTCGCTGGCCAAGTCCTGCAAGAGTGACCTGAAGAAGTATCGCTGTAACGTGGAGAACCTTCCGCGCTCCCGAGAAGCCCGGCTTTCCTACCTGCTCATGTGCCTCGAGTCTGCTGTGCACAGAGGTAAGGGCAGCTTGTCCAAGTGACGTAGGGGCTTGCTGGGGTCTTGGTTTTTAGAAGCKTGTGTGGGACTTTGGGCTAGCAGCTGCAGTGTGCATTTATAGCCACCTTCTCCAAGTAAACTGAAATGTTGGGTCACAGAAAGGCAAGTTTTCTCATCATGCTGCTTTCATCCCTTACTTYGAAGCTTATCTAAAAATAGCTAGGAAACTTCCGAGAATGGCTCTTATTGTGSAGGCAGGATGCTTAAAATGCAACATAGCAGAGCCCCCTTGAACCAATGACATGTAATTGCAAATTCCTTTCTTCACTGTGAGTTCAGACAAGTTTTCTTCCTCTCCTTTGTGGAGTAAACAGTAAATATGCTAGTAGCTTAAAAAGCAGCACAGGCAGCTTGTTTAACCTCACTCAGTGAAAGCCAGAGGTATTCAAATCTATGCAGCTCACACTCCTTTAGTAGCTTGAGAAAATGCTTTATTTCTGTGACCCCTRCTGAGGTTTTGCTGTGTAGAAGGAAAGTGCATGCCATGGTGTTTCCCAAGGGGTTACAGGGCACCACAGTAGCACCAAGTTAGAAGTTCTCTGTGAAATTGCCCTACTGTGTAAAATTTTTTATATCCTCTGCATCCGTATTGGAGGCCCTTCTGCCTTCTTTTGTTTTGTTTTCGTTACAGTGTTTGCAAGCTGCTGTTCTGATGTAGGATCCCCATCATACAGGGATTTTACTCCTAKGAATAGATGGGGGGCACCCACAGCAAAAAGAGGCCATCCCATTCCTTTGGATTTGAACTGATTTTCATTGCATCCTGATAAAGCTGCTCAGGAGCAAATYTCCATATTTATTAAAGCTAAATTTCCATACTGTTAACTGCTGTTAGTTTGCCTAAGTGYAGCTTTTAAATTAGTAGAGGTGCTTCCCTTTGTGCAGTGGAAAAACAACCACCTGAAAGGATAGGACATGGATAACCTGTACCAGCCCCCCGGAGGGTATTTGAGTCTTTCTCCAGAAGCAGTCACCACCTGTAGACTCCAACATAAGATTCTCTTGATTGTTCAGGAGTTCCCTCTTTGAAAGCCTGGTGTGKCACTTGGGGAATGGTTCATTTACGAGCTGTGTTGAATGACAGGAGTTGTGTTGAGGGACACTTGGCTTAACCTCCAGTGAGTCTGCTCGTGTCTGCAGGCTGCTCTGATGTTGTCCAGAACATGGATATGGTTCCTWATCTGCTGCTGTGGAAGCACCAAAGCCCTTGGTCCAGACGGGCTCTGCTGAGCGCTGCCACGAACTCGTGTCTTCCTCTCTTGCCTCAGGTCGACAAGTGAGCAGCGAGTGCCAGGGTGAAATGCTGGACTACAGGCGCATGCTGATGGAGGACTTCTCCCTGAGCCCGGAGATCATCCTGAGCTGCCGAGGGGAGATCGAGCACCACTGCTCGGGCCTGCACCGCAAGGGGCGCACCCTGCACTGCCTCATGAAAGTGGTCCGAGGGGAGAAGGGGAACGTGGGCCTCAACTGTCAGCAGGCAGTAAGCTGCTTTCCTGCCGTTTCCCGTCGGAGCTGGGGGGTTGTTCAGGTTTTAGGCTCGCTGTGAAGATGGTGCTAGCAGCAYGTTAGTGATGCTCTTTCCGTTTTTCCTTTTTTCCTTTATTTTTTTCTTCTTTGGATTTCATGTTTCATCTCCAGGTGTTCATTTCTAGCACTTCTCAAGTCACCTCGTTCTCTCCTGCGTGTAGTATATAGGGAAACTTTTGTTCGTGTAAGTTAAAAAAATTCTCTCCCCCTATGCCCTGTCCTTGAAAATGCACATTGTTGGTTTTTCTCCTGTTTTCACTTGGCTTGAATGATGGAAATGGAACTTCACTGACTGCTATGATGAACTGCTCTTCATTTCAGTTGCAACTATTGAAAGAAATGGTCTTTCTTCTCTAAAATACTTCTTAAGAATAGAGTGGTTGTTTCAGYCCAGATTGGTCTTGTGTTTAGTCTTTTCAAATTGAAAGCAATTACTTACTGTTTCTCCCAGCTCATTAATGCTGCTTGAGGTGATATTATGTTTGTACTTGATACCTGCTGTTAATGACCCTTCAGCTTCTCTATGCAAACTGAGCCTGGAAAAGGGACATGGCTGAGGAATAATATACAGAATTTATTGCTAACATAGCAGTTTGAGGAGATGGGTGCTCTTGACCTCCTGCAATAGCCCATTTTCAGTTTAAAGGTAGCTTAAAGCCCGAGGCCAGGGTATTGCCAACACGTGTGTGTGTTAGCGAAGATAAATGAACGAAGAGCTGGAGAAATTTTATTTTCAAGCACTGGGTGATTGTGTGCTGAAGCTTCCTYTGTTTAAACAGAGGTGTGTTGGTGCAGCAGCTGTGTGTTTTGAGTCATATCTGCAGTGAGTTATGCTTTACAGCAGTTGTGTGGACAAACTGCATGCTTGTTGCTGGTTTTCAGCTGTGAAGCCGAACTGCTGCCACAGAACTTGGTTATCCAAAAATTACTCGGAGATTGTTTCTGCTTGGGAGTAAATCCTGGTCGGAGTAAGGCACAGGTTAAGGCAGAGAACCTCCCAAAGCAAGTGGAGATGTGAGACTTTGGGGGAAAGAGAGGGACTTCTGTAGAAATCTATAGGCTTTTTCCATAGCTGCTCTTACAACTCTGTTTATCTAGAGGAAGCTGGTGAAGCAGCAGGGCTTGCCAAGGACTGTCCTTTAAACGGAATGACTTGTGCTCTGTCCTCTGTACAAAAGACAACAGGAGCAAATTAAATGTTAATTTTATAAAATGTGATTAGCTTGCCAAGATTTTTGTGGGCAGAAGGAAAGAAATGATTGCAAGAATAAGGTAAGTGTTCCAATGGCCTGGGTTCCTGAGGAGTGATATAATGCTCTTACACRGCTGCCTTCAGCTTCAGAAGTACCTACATCTTTTCCTGTCAATATTCTGTAYGGGAATGGTGATGCTTAGATTGGCCACAGTTGTCTCAGCTGTCACCTCTTGTTCGTTGTAGTTTGTTTAGCTGGAAAGAGCTTCCTGCTTTTACTTCTATGGTAGGTCAGTTGGTTTGTAAGGAAGACACAATACATATTTAGCATGAATATATAGGTTGTCCTCTACAAATAACACCCTATTAGCATTTGTAACAGGAGGAGTTCTTGTGCATACTGAGGGTGATGGATATGAGATGGGACCATAGATCATCASAGAGCAAATATATATGACCCTTAATTGTGAGCCCCAGCACGTATAGGGTCTATGGCTGCAAGAAGTCAGGTTAAACACGATGGTGTGTGGCAGCTATGGTGTAATAAAGTCCCATGGAAGTAATATTTTGTATAGAGCC